CCAGGGAGAGAGGTGGACCCCTGGGTAGCTGGCTGGGGTCAGAGGCCCCTAGGTGGAGGGCCAGGGGGCACCCTGGGGCCTCTACTGCAAGTCCAGGGAGAGAGGTGGACCCCTGGGTAGCTTGCTAGGGTCAGAGGCCCCTAGGTGGAGGACCAGGGGGCACCCTGGGGCCTATACTGCAAGTCCAGGGAGAGAGTTGGAGCCCTGGGTAGCTTGGTGGGATCGGAGGCCCCTAGGTGGAAGACCATGAGGCACTCTGGGGTTTTTACTTCAAGTCCAGGGAGATAGGCAGAACACAGAAAAACATAAAAGAGTCAGAGGCACATAGATAAAGGAACAAGGGTCACCCTGGAGCCTATCTGACAAATCAAGGGAGAGAGAGGGAACACTGGGAAGCTTGCTGGTGTCAGAGGCCCCTAGGTGTATGTCCATATATATATATATATATATATATATATATATATATATATATATAAACCTATAGAAATAATTAAGACCTGTAAATTTAAAATCAGGATTATTCAACCACATGTTCTTTTCTTAACTCTTCTGAAGCTAAAACATTGGTATTGCATTTTTATTCTAAGTTCTAAGTGTCATTTTTATTTAAAAATTTGTAATAAATGTTATCAGAGTTCACAAAATAAAACAAAAATAAGTGTTACTCATACATGACTGTAAATCGTGTACACACACACACACACAGTTGTGTAACTGACTGAAAAAGTACAGATTACATCTGCAAAAAAAAGATTAATAAGTAAATAATTATTTTTTTTCAAATGCAATTATTTAGTGATATATTGTAATACAAAAAATAATGTAGCAATATTAGTGACTCATGAATATAGAGTTAAAATAATTAAAAATAGAAAATAGACATTTATTAGAAAATGTCCATTGCTTTTTGAATAACAAATGTTTAAGGGTTGACTCAATTAAACTATTTAAAAATTTATACCAAATGTTATCAGATGACACAAAATAAAACAAAAGTAAAGTGACTGGAAATTGTTTCAGTGAAATCAGAATTTACATTTACATTTACATTTACAATTACATTAATGTAAATGTAAATCAGAATTCTAATAACATTTAATTGAAAAATACTTGTAATCCATTAATAGTAAGATGACATGTTATTCACACAACGGCAGTACATTTTCTATTGATTATTCCAAATTATTTGTTCTTTTAATTTCCATTTTTAAAAGTCATATAAAATGGTCATGTGGACACAACTTTTAAGCCGTTTAACCATATGTGAGAGAAATAATCAAGTACGTTATTACATCTGAACAAAAATACTGAAAACCTGGAAGATTTGAGGCATGTAATATCATAGTAGCTGCCATGTTATTAATGCTTGTTCATGTTCTGCTGGAATTCTCAAACATCCCCAAAATGACCCAAAAAAATCAGCCAAACCCACCAAAAATTATTATTATTTTTTAAGATATTTAACTAATTAATTATTATTATTACCAAGTCAAATCTTACTGCAGTTCCGTTTGAAAAATTCTTGTTTAGTGCAATGTTTAATCTATTTTTGAGATATAATGTCTGTTTTTTTTATTTGCTTTTTACAGTATATTAATATGCTACGTGGATTGGCATGAAGCTATATAAAAAAAGAAGTAGATAACCTAAAAATAATCAGACTACATTGCCTGAAATATATCTGGTTGTCACAGTCAACATGACTAAGTTAAGTAAACCAATCAAATCAAAAGAGGGCGGAGCTTTGCTGTTTACAGCTACATTACTAAACGATCACGTTAATTCAGTTTCGGTTTCTGACGATGAAAGAGCTTAATGTAAGTAACGTTATCGAAGAATTTAACACCTGGCAGCTGATTTTCGATAAAATAATAATAATAATAACAATAATAATAATATCAGTAACTTACAGTATAATGCAAACTATTAGATTTGTGATGGGAGTCAAGGGACTGACGTTTGTATTTTTCCATTCGCGTTTTTATCTACGTTCGCATTTGCATACAAATATGAAAGCATGCTATCTATATAAGTGACACAATGTGTGTGAATAATGTATATGAAGGATGTTATCTGGCGCAGGCGTAAAATAAATAAGTCCACTCACCTTCGAAGATAACTTTTGGATTCACTATTAAGAGAATAAAAGCTCTGCTGTGGTGGCTCGCGTCAAACTATAAAATACCTCTAGAAGTCAACAATCACGCCAGCAAGCGCTATGTCATGACTTTTTTCCTATCGTGAAGCTGGAAACGTGTTTTTTCAAAATAAAAGGCCTCAAAGTTGTTCTTGCAAGTGTCTCATCATGAGATAGTAAACTCGGCGTTCTTGTTAACTAGCATAGTTAGAAATTACCAGAAAGAAAGAGTCATCAATATACGTATTTTAAAGGGTCAATTTTTAACAGTTTTTAGCACAAATACGGAGTATGGGTCATACTTGACCAAAATCACGAATTTCACATTTATTTTTTTTTAAATAAAATTGTATTCAACTATTTTCACCCTCCATATGACACTTTTAGCTGGAAAGGTAAATCATACCGTTTTCTTTTTTATTTTAATGTCCCATATGTTTTACATTTAAATTTTAAATAACGAACACTGCAAAACACATAATATTTAATACAATTAAATATTACCTGATGTGATTTTTGTGGCGACAGTACAGATCTCTTATTTTGAAAAGCTTTCTTATCGCTGCATTTTTTAAAACATCACCGCCAACAATTTCTGTTTTCACACAAGGGAAGTTAACTTTAGTGTTATCGCGCTTGCCTTATCTGATGAACACGTTATGCAGTAGCTGTAATATTGTTGGTCGTTTAATTTATGTGTGTGAGGTATCCCGCTTTGATTTTTAAATCAGCATAACTAGACACTTCTGTCATGTAGGTTCTCAACGTGCCCGGACATGCCTGACAAAAAGTGCCTTTTAAAAGGAGCATCATCACTTTCGGCAGAGTATGATTGGAGGTTTCCTGGATGCAGAGGATGATGCCTGGACATCATGACTGTGCTGGACACTGAAACTGCTGCTGCTTTTGTTGGAATGAGTCAAAATCTGTGGTTGGAGAAAGCCTGTTCTATCCTAATTCCTGATTTACCATTATGGATCATTGAATATGCATGGACTAAACGGATGATGGAGGTCTTAGAAGGTGCTTTTTATTACATTTCAAATAACCATAATTAATATGCATGTTAAAACATGTCCTATTTTGGTGTCTGAAACCATTTCAATTTACACAAGGGATTATCTGCACACAAAAAGCATCTTAAAATAAAAAAGGATCTGATTTAATGTTTTAAATAACTTTGTTAGCCAAAATGTAAGTGAAATCAATTTCTGTGGTCATTCAGCGTAACAGACATTTCTGTAAAAATGAAACCACATACTTATTCTGATCTGTACAAAAAATATTAAAGAATGAGGGATAATACTGAAGTTTAGTACATGTTAGATGATTTTAAACGTTTTACTTGCAAGTTGGTTAAAACTTAGTATTATGTGAAAGTATAAAGATTTAAAATGACAATTGATTAATATTTTATGGCTGCAAAATGATATTTACACAGCTGATGCCCTTCCAGCTGTATCCCAGTACTGGGAAACATCCATACACCCTCATTCACACACATACCCTATGGCCAACTTAGTTTATTCAATTCACCTATAACGCATGTGTTTGGACTGTGGGGGAAACCGGAGCACCCGGAGGAAACCCACACGAACATGGGGAGAAAATGCAAACTCCGCACAGAAATACTAACTGACCCAGCTGGGACTCGAACCAGCAATCTTCTTATTGTGAAGCGCCAGTGCTAACCACTGTGTCACCCCCTTTTTTAACCTTCATTCATTCACTTTATTTTTTAGCCTAGTCGGGTCGCCACAACGTAATGAACCGCTAACTTATCCAGCACATGTTTTACGTAGAGGATGCCCTTCCAATATCCATACACACTCATACACTACGGACAATTTAGCTTACTCAATTCACCTTTACCGCATGTCTTTGGACTTTTGGGGGAAACCGGAGCACCCGGAGCAAACCCACGTGAATACAGGAAGAACATGCAAACTCCACAATGACCCAGCTAGGACTTGAACCAGCGATCTTGTTGTTGTGAGGCGCTAACCACTGAGCCAACATGTCACCCTGTTTTAAACATGTCTGATCAAATTTGTTAGTATATAAAATGCCACTTTAAGTGGGTCTCTTGAATAAAACATGGTTAAAATTAGAGCAGCATGATTCTGCAGAAAATTAATTTGGATGAAAATGAATTTTTAACTTAAAATAAAGATCCCGGTTCTCTCATGTTTTTCTATTATAAACATTCACCCCTGAACATTTGCTTTTCAAACAAAATGGCAATAAAACACAAAATGTAATGGAAAAAATGTCATCCTAAAATGTATGCTAATTACTGTATATTTGGCTCAGATATGTTTCAAAGGGGACCTATATTTTTTGCAAATGTCATTTTGTATCTCTAGAGTGTGTATTTGGGCTGCACAATATATTGTTTTGGCATCAATATTGCAATGTGATTCGCAATAGTCACATCGCAGGATATGCAATGTTGAGTGAGTTTATATATTATTATATTATATTATATATAATAAGTTTTCATTTTCATGTGTTTTTCAGGGCTATATAATGTCTGAAAAGCATTTACAGCTAAGAAACTGTATCATTTGTAATGAATTCTTTTTATTATTTAATTACTGTACCTGAATACCGTTAGACTCAGAAAATGTGTGTATTTCAATTGTATCTTATTTTAAATTGTATTGATCCATGTTTGTAGATGGTTTATTATATTTTATTTAGATGCACTTCTCAATAGAATCATCTCAACCAATGTAAAACATGATTAATTCTTTCCAAATAAGAGCTATTCAAGTCATCTGCGGTAATCATATTGCGATTTATAATGCAGAATAACAAAATATCACAATGTTAGATTTTTCCAATATCTTGCAGCCCTAGTGTGTATGTGAAGTTGCAGCTCAAAATACACCCACAAATATTTTTAATAACTTGTAAAACTGCCCCTTGTGATCCAAATTGTGACGTTTTGGTGACTGTTGCTTTAAATTCAAATGAGATTGTGCTTTTCTCAAAAGAGGGCGGAGCTACAAATTTGTCAGCATAGCGGCAAGTTCAAAACAAGTCTAAAGTTATCTCTGTGAAAAACTGAAAATGTGGTTCAGGAGTAGGTAGTTTATGGAGACATCGGTGTTCATTTGTGCATCTTAAAACTCCTAAACCATTTATAATTCCTTTTAGTCACTGACATTATCTTCAGCAAGTATGGTAAAACTCTAATGGCAGTTGGCTGCTTCTCACTTAGGGCTGTCTATGCTAATGAGAGAGAGAGATCATCACTAATGGGCGGGACTTTCCCCCTCTGATGACATATACAAAAGGGAGAATGTCAATCAAAGTGTTTATGCAGATTGTTTTTATGTAGTGTGATTATAAAAAATATAATTGATTACTTTTTTCCCATTAACAGCTGGATATATTCACACACTGTTGCCACATCACTGTGTTTAAACCCCTTATAAAAGGGATTTTGGATGATAGGTCCCCTTTAAATTTATTGCACAATTGCAGTAATATAAAATGGAAGATCTAATCAGTTCACGCTTACTTTAGTTCTAGGTCCACCATTATGGCTAGAAGGAGACTGGCACCATCTGAGCCTTGAGGAGCCGTGCAGAGTCCGTGCGGTGGCAGCAGAAGTTTGGAGGATCGTGCAAACCAGAGACATCCAGCACTTTGAGAGAGTCCTTGAGTTTTTGGATGTTACATACACACTTGAACCACGACTCGTGACCCCCATCAAACACATGAAGATCAAGTTTGGTCTGCAGACACTGGTGAGATCTTGTGTATTTCGATAACAAATATAAATCAACCCATAAGAATTAAAGGGATAGTTCACACAAATATGAAAATTCCGCCATTATTTCCAGTACATTATTATCTGCTTATCCTTCACTTCTTCCAAACGTGTTTGAGTTTCTTTCTTATGTTGAACACTAAAGATATACACTCACCGGACACTTTTTAGGTACACCTGTCCAACTGCTTGTTAATGCAAATTTCTAATCAGCCAATCACATGGGAGCAACTCAAGGCATTTAGGCATGTAGACATGGACAAGACGATGTACTGCAGTTCAAACCGAGCATCAGAATGGGGAAGAAAGGTGATTTAAGTGACTTCGAACGTGGCATGATTGTTGGTGCCAGACAGGCTGGTCTGAGTATTTCAGAAACTGCTGATCTGCTGGGATTTACATGCACAAACATTTCTAAGTTTTACAGAGAATGGTCAGAAAAGAGAAAATATCCAGTGAGCGGCAGTTCTGTAGGCGCCAATGCCTTGTTGATGCCAGAGGTCAGAGGAGAATGGCCAGACTGGTTCCAGCTGAGAGAAAGGCAACAGTAACTCGTATAACCACTTATTGCTACAGAGGTATGCAGAAGAGCATCTCTGAACGCACAACACGTCCAACCTCGAGGTGGATGGCTTAAAGCAGCGGAAGACCACACCGGGTGCCACTCCTGTCATCTAAGAACAGGAAACTGAGGCTACAATTTGCACAGGCTCACCAAAATTGAACAATAGAAGATTGGAAAAACGTTGCCTGGTCTAAAGAGTCTCGATTTCTGCTGCAACATTCGGATGGTAAGGTTTACTCTTCTCAAATGACCACCACAGTCACCAGAGTCTCAATCCAATAGAGCACCTTTGGGATGTGGTGGAACAGGAGATTTGCATCATGGATGTGCAGCTGACAAATCTACAGCAACTGCGTGATGCTATCATGTCAATAAGGACCAAAATCTCAGAAGAATATTTCCAGTACCTTGTTGAATCTATGCCATGAAGGATTAAGGCAGTTCTGAAGGCAAAAGGGGGAACAGCTCGGTACTAGTAAGGTGTACTTAATAAAGTAGCTGGTGAGTGTACTGATGATTGTTGGGAAATAAAACCGCCATTGACTTCCAGCATTTGTTTCTACTATAGATGTCAATGGCTGCTTTTTTCCCCAACATTCTTTAGAATCTCTTGCGCTCAACAAAAGAAAAAAATACATAAATGTCTACAAGATGTGGAAATTTTTGGATGAATGACACTGCAAAAAGGCTTTTCTTACTTAAATTACTTACTTTACCTTGTTTTAGTCCAAATATATATATATTTTTAAAAAAATCATAAATCTAGAAGTATTTTCTAGATAAACAAAACATATTGTCTTATTTTAAGAAATAATATGCCAAAATTAAATTAGTGTTTCCTTAAAATGAGCAAAATAATCTGCCAGTGGTGTAAGCAAAATAATCTTGTTAAAACTAATTATTTAGCTTAATAATTAGCAGATTATTTGGCTTGTTTTAAGATTTTTTTATATTTAGACTAGAAACAAAACAAAACCTCTGAGAAAAGCATTTTCCCTTTAACTTCCTGTCATCCACAAGGAGTTTTTAAAGTGTATAAAACATGTTTCTGTATTTTTGTCTCAGGTTATAATGTGGATGTTGTGGAACGATGAAAGCGCTGCTAACATCACTGTCAAGATGGAAAACTTTTTCCCAAACAAACTTCCAGAGTATTACAAATGTGTAAGTCTACTCTTCGTCCACCAGGGGCCTCCACAAATACATCAAAAAAGCCAAAGAATGAAATAAATAATGCCAGTTGGTGCATGATTTTTTTGTGAAATGTAATGTAGGAAAACCATTTCTCCATAATATTAAACTATTGACTTTTTTTCTTTAATATAGAGACGCAAGCATGTAGATCTGATGCAGAAAAACCAGAAAGAGTTCAAGTCCTTCGCTCATGTTCTGGCAAGAGACAGGGATATGCGGGAGACTTACATTCATGTTAGTATAGCTGAAGTACTTTAAAATGCACATTACTAATATTTGTGGCATTTATCAATGATAGATTCTTAAATCAAATGTGAATGTTAAACTTTGCAGGATTTAATGGAGGAGCAATATGGCGAACGCTACGCACAGAAACTGGAGGAGAGACTCTTGCACTATTTGGGAGAACTAGATAAACTTCTGCCACAACCTACATATATTGACCAGGTTTGTGTTTATATGCATTTGTTTCTACTGTCTGTATTTGAATTTAATTGTGCCTTTTAAATTATTTAGTGCAGTTCATTTTCTGATTAGGAGAGCTCTTTAGGAAAGCAATTGCCAGCTACAGTATCCAGCAATGGCTGAAGGTTTCGTCTGTGTGTCTGTGTGTCTGTGTGTCTGTGTCTGTGTGTCTGTGTCTGTGTCTGTGTGTGTGTGTGTGTGTGTGTGTGTGTGTGTATGTGTGTGTGCGAGCAAAGCTCAGTTAAAATCGTATTTTTCACTTTTTAAAATGTTCATGTCAGATTCAGTTATTTAGGTTTTGTTTATTACAAGCAAATGGTTTGATACTGAATTTTCTGACTTTATCTATTAGTAAGTAGACAAGGAAGAATAAATTACTGTGAACAAGATTTGTATGTGCTTTATAGATGTCCTTTAAAATATGTGGGGACTACTGCACTTTAATTATGATCTACATACAATAGCACAAGCAGTTGTTATTCATATTGGACTGCATCATTCCAAAATGTCACAAAATGATATAATCAGAACGGTCTGACTATAAGCTTTTTCGAAATTATGCAACATAAAAGATTAATTGACATAACAAATAAAGTAGAGTCTGAATAAACATGCTAATACTCTTTCCATTTCCACTTGTTGATGATTATAGAACAGTCGTAATGTCGTTTCTTTGGTTAAACGCTAATCGAAAGAAAAATATCAGTGTGCGCACATCTAGGAAAATCTTAAAGGCAGATGCTTGATCAAGCCCAACACAATAGAAAATGTAAAAAAAAGCATGGCACACTGCCACTTTAGCTCTCTTTGAGCTGATCTTGAGCTTAACACTGTAAACAAAGCAGTGGTTTGCTTTTTAAAGGCATAGTTCACACAAATGAATATTTACTCATTTACTAACCCTCAAGTGACATATTTTGAAGAATTATCTATTTTGGTGAACTATCCGTTAAAGTAGTATTTTATATGGAGGTAAAGTAAAAAAAAAAAAAACTCCTAAATTGTATCTAAATTTTTCCTTAAATATCTCACACATAAAATTAATGCTGATTTACATTTACATTTAGTCAATTAGCGAACACCTTTGTTCAAAGTGACATATAATTGCGAAGGCATTCAGTGAATCAACAAGAAGTGGCAATACACACTTTAAGTGCTAGAAATACAAAGTGACTTGTTTGTGCTCATACAAGTTAGTACTAGAGTAAGGGTGCTAAAATTGCTTCTGTTTATTTGAAAGAAAGAGAGAGAGGGAGGAAGGGAGAGAAAAAGTGTTCTACAGGTGGTTTGGCAAGCCCACTCAACTGTGTGAAGCACACTTTATAAATGCAGTGTTTGTGTTGGTTAATGTGTCAGTGAGTTGAATGAGAGTGTTTTTTATTGGTGGTTTGTTAGGCCCACTCACCTGTGTGAGGCATACTCAGAATTTATAATATTTTGAGTTGGTGTGTGATGAGATGGGGGGAGAGAATAGGGGTCTTGGTTTTATTCATTGGGGGAATTTATGTTTCAACTGGTGGGTTTTCAAATAAAATTAAATAATCCACACATAGGATGACATCACAGATGCACAAGTACTTGTATCATAGCTACAAAGAGTATCAAAGTATTTTTGTATGAATTACAAATACATTTTTGCTTGTTTGAAACCTTTAAAATGTAAACCTTCATAGCTATTTAAAACAATCATTGACAAAAGCTAAAACTGTCTAAACACACAAGTGTATTATCTGTGTAGACGCAAGTATGAAGTATGAATTAAACAAAGGTTAGAATCATCAAAGGCTAGCAAGTCTGCTTCAAAACTACTGGCTGATTTTAAGAAAAGAGTATAAACCTCTACTATTGAATGTTCAAAACATGTATGAAACATGCGCATATACATATAAACTTAATGCATGCATATTGCATACATTCACATACACGCGCACATACATAACTCGATCTGTGCATATACTCCCACATTACCACACACATATACATAACTCGACCCTTGCATAAACACCCAAATTAACATTCACATACACAAACTCGCTGCATGCTGGCATATAGCACTCGCACAAACTTACAAAATAAAATTCAAACATATTTATCAGAAATCTGGTTATTGCAAAAGCTGATGAAATAGAAAGAATGTGATTAACAGAGGTATTTAATCTGTTAAATAATGAAAATTTATATAAAATAATATAAAATATTAGTCGATATAAGTAGACTATATAAAATATATAAGAACTATTTTATGTTAAACCTTTTAATTTAATTGGGTTATTACATACACAAATATAATAGTCAGATACAACCCTTAAAGGACGTTCAAGATGAAAAGCAACCAGAGATATGAATATACTCAAACAACTCTTTTCTATTGCAAATATTAATGTAGACTTTACTCTTTTTGATCTTTTTATTATTATAATTATTATTCTTTGTCTATGTTTTTTATAATGTGGATGTCATAATTGTAAGATTTTTGTATAATTTTAATTGTTAAATATTTGGCATATGCAAAAAAAAAAAAATAACACAGATAAAAGTTTCTGTTCACGCTGGTCAAGCTAACCTCCATGAAGTATCTATTTATGATTTATATAAATAAATAAGCAGAGTCTGAGAGTTTTAGTTTTTTGACAGTTTATTTTACATTTCTTGTTTGTAAAGGCTAATACAAATAAAAAGTAAACATACATTTTTTGTATTGTTATTTATTTTAAAAAACAAAAAGTTATAAGAGGCTGGCGGTATATAAACTTTGCATATTCAATTTGCAGACGTGTACTTTAGGTACAGACATCTATTGTGTGCGTTCTTGGCAGTTTTTTCCTGTGTTTTTAATATTGTCCATATCGATATCGGAATTATATCGTATTGATCAAAATTAAGAAATCTATCATGATATAGATTTTTGCCATATCGTCCAGCACGCGGACCAAGTGGTTAAACGATAAGTGATGTGAGAAATGATCATGGAGTGATGATCGATTTATTTGTGATCAGATGTCATGTGAGGCTGCCCTAACTTATCTGACCTGGTTACAAACCTTTTTACCTGTGACTTAAATGATAGTTTTAAATCTTGTAATAGTTTTACAACTTGTAATCTTTCCTCTGATACAAATACATCTGGTACTTCCCTTAACCTATTATTCTTAGAAAAGAACATACACACTGTTTTCGAGATGTTCAACTGTAAACAGCACTGTTCTAACCAGGTTAAAAGTTGTACCAGCGATTCTGTGAGTTTGTTTTCAACTTGCAACACATTCCTCCTATGAATAAATATAACAGTGTCATCTTCATACATTTGTATATTAATATAAGGACAAATGGATGGAAGATCATTAATATATAAAGTAAAAAGTAAAGGGCCCAAAATAAATCATTGCGGAACACCTGTGGATATACCTAAAGGGGCAGATTTGTAATTCTGTATATTAACACACTGTGTGCGACCAGACAAGCATGATTCTATCCATTTTAAAGTTTGAGGGGAGAAGTTACAACCTACTAATTTGCACGTGAGAATTCTTTAATTTACAGTATCAAAGGCCTTCCTGAAGTCAAGAATCACAGCCCCAACGACCCCCATTATCTATGAAAGACTTTACTTTTTCGGTGAAGTAGCAATTTGCCATCTCATTTGAGTAGTTTGCTCTGAAGCCAAACTGCAATGGATCTAAAGCAATAGAACTATTATTTAAGTAATTTGTGTGACTATCAGTTATACACTTAGATTTTACTTAATTTTATATTAATTATTATAATGATAATAAAAGTAATAGTAATAGTAATAATGTTAAGACACTTAAATTTAACTCAAAAACTACCATTAAGCTCCTCGTACAGAAAAATAAATATAACAAGAAATATCACAATACTCAACAGCAACATGGCAAATTAAATATGTTATTTGAAAAATTACACTTTTGAGTAATCAATGTGGCTATAATTTGTTTTATGCAAAATAAAAACAAAAACAAAATTTTTTTAAAATGATTTATTTAGAGCAGATCAGAAATATGATGCAAATGACATTAAAACACAAAATGAGGAATAAAGAAAGACATCTGGACTCCAATCGGTCACCAAGCGGACAGGTGCAGGAGACACATAGACAGTGCAGGAAGAAGCCAGACGGACCGGAGCAGTAAAGACCTCAGTACAGCTGTCAGGACTCAAACAGGCAGAAGGAGAGACCTCTGTCATCCAGTCAGGAGCCAAACTGGCAGAATCAGGAGAGTCTTCAGTATAGCAGTCGGGACTCAAACTGGCAGCAGCAGGAAAGTCCTCAGTACAGCAGTCAAGACTCAGACACAGTGAAGAAAAGTCCTCAGACCAGCTGTCGGCACTCAAACTTGCAGTACCAAGAGAGTCCTCAGTACAGCTGTCGGGACTCAAACTGGCAGCAGCAGAAGAGTCCTCAATACAGCAGTCGGGTCTCAAACTGGCAGCAGCAGGAGAGTCCTCAGGACAGCAGTCCAGACTCAGACACACAGCAGGAAAGTACTCAGTACAACAGTTGGGACTCAATGCATGAGAGACCTCAGTACTGCTGTCAGGTCTCAAACAGGTAGCAGGAGGGTCCTCAGTACTGCTGTCAGGACTCAAACAGGTAGCAGGAGGGTCCTCAGTACTGCTGTCAGGACTCAAACAGGCAGCAGGAGGGTCCTCAGTACTGCTGTCAGGACTCAAACAGGTAGCAGGAGGGTCCTCAGTACTGCTGTCAGGAATCAAACAGGTAGCAGGAGGGTCCTCAGTACTGCTGTCAGGACTCAAACAGGCAGCAGGAGGGTCCTCAGTACTGCTGTCAGGACTCAAACAGGCAGCTGTAAGAGAGAGGGCAGCTCTGTTGTCAGGAGCCAAACAGGCAGCAGGAGAGACCTCAGCACTGTGGTCAGACGAGGCCTTCTTGTATTTTTTGCCACCTCTTAGATGGGAAATCCACCTCCACACTTTTCTCTTCTTTTTAGAGGAACGCTCCT